AAAAAAAAAGAAGTTTAATATGTACGTGGGTATTTACCTTGGTTGCAAATATATCAGTGAATGTGGTGGAGCACACAGGGGCACAGTTAGGAATACTTCTTAGACATAACCAAACACTTTTGAGGAAAGAGTCTCTGGGCCTGGTGACACAGGACCATATTCCTGGGTGACACCAGGTTCAACTATTAGTCTCTCCCTGTCTTTAGGAAAGAAGTGATAAAAACAGAAGACAGCAGGAAGCAGTCAGATGGACTAATGGACCATGTGAACATCAATATCCATAGTCCTCAGAGCAGAACTAGATGGTGTCTGGGTACCACAACTAACTGTTCTGAAAAAGTTCACATCAAAAGGCTCTGGTTTGAACAGAACAAATAAATCTGTCTTGGAGGAATTGCAGCCAGAATGCTCCTGGTTTATTGTTTATACACTGGATCAGAGCTAAGTGGGCAGCACTTAACAGCAACATATATTATTTATCCAAAACAGGATCATGCGCTACATCCTCTTCTAAAACCTACTTTTTTCCCACTTACATAATAAACACTTTTTATTTTATTAAATATATTTTTTAAAAAGGTTCTGGCTTGAGTGGAAGAAAATTATGGAACAAAACTCAAAATCCTGAGACCAGGCTTATTCTGGTTGGATAGAAGCTGGTGGAACCCCTGAGACGATGGCTCTTAGCCACCATTCAGGACTGACGACGAAAATACAACACTTCTAGATCAGACACATAATTCCATTTCATTGTTAACATAGTTCCAATGCCCTAAATGTACAAAGGGCACTACTAGGAAATGTCTGCTTCCCGTTCCTCTTCCATTCCCATTGTCAACAACCCAGTTCCCTTTCTCATGGCCAGTTTTACTTTGTCCTGTATCTTCCTAGCTATTTTATGCATATGCAAACAAGGAACTTCCCCTTATTTTATCCAAATGGAGACACTAATATACACAATGTTCGTTACTTGGAATTTTAAACTTCGCATATATCCTAAATATTCTTACCAATTCATAAAGAGCTTTCTTCTTGTTCTATTTGCTACATATAATCCCAAACCCCAAAAGCTAGACTCTCTGCTATCGAGGCAATTCTGACTGACAGAGACCCTACCTAGAGTTTCCAGCCTTGGCAAAACTTTCTCCCTTGGAGCAGTTGGTGGGTTTGAACCACCGTCCAACTGAGACTTGGTCTTTAGCCTGGGTTCTGCCAATAAAACAAAGACCCAGAAACAAGCTTGTATGCAAAGTTATTGGGGGGAATTGATCTCAATGGGATCGAAGGCACTAGGAAGAGTAACCAAGGAAGAAGGAATGTCAATCAAGGAAGTGCTATCTAGCTCTTTGCTACTGAAAGTGTGTGATCCAGTGTCAGCCCCACCCTGAAGCTTGTGGGATATGCAGAGTACCAGGCCTTACCCTTGACTTACTGAATTAGAATAGAAATGTAAACAAGATCCCAGTGTTCTGTATAAACGTTCACATTGGAGAACAGGAACAGCTTTTCATTATCCTAGATAGCTGGGCTCAATCTTGCCTCTCAAAGGGCAACGGAGAATTACCCACTTAAGGACAGGAGAGACCACTTAAACCATAGGTTCCTAAACTTATTTGACCTACTACCCGCTCTTTCAGAAAAAAAAAAAAAAAAGACCTCAAAAAACCTCAGCAACGCCCCTGGGAATTAAAAACTTTTGTATTTAAAAAAAAAATCATTTTATTCGGGGCTCATATAGCTCTTATCACAATTTATACATCCATCCATTGTGCCAAGCACCTTTGTACATATGTTGCCATCATCATTCTCAAAACATTTGCTTTCTACTTGAGCCCTTGGTATCAGCTCATTTTCTCCCCTCCCACAGCCTCCCTCCCTCATGAACCCTTGATCATCTTTTTTCATGTCTTACACAGACCGCTGTCTCCCTTCATCCACTTTTCTGTTGTCTCTCCCCTTGGGAGGGGGT